CTTTTAGAAAGAAAAGAACTGAACTATTTATGTCTAGAAAGATTGCTAAGTTGCATTTCGATTCGAAAATGTTCAACGGAATTTTTAAATTGTGATGCCAAATCTGCGAATCAGATAGACAGAGAGAGCTAAGCAACCTGTTCTGACACAGTGAATTTGTCTTCAAGAATGAAACCTTTTTTCTTTTATCATATTTCCTACCAGCTGTTTTTCTCTTTTAATCGGTTACAAAGCCAAAAAATGATAAAAAATACACTCACTGAAGCGACTAACTTCCAATTAAATACAATTTAAAAAAACTTCTGCAACAAACCATAAGCTACGTTGTCAAGCTGCAGATGGTAACAGTAATAATACAACTGCAAGTAAATAAAGCACGCGTCCGTCACAGTAAAAATTATTGTAGCTGTACTGGAAGCTAAAAATATATATCTGAAATGACGTCATCATCATTTTACGCCACGTGCAAAATTTTTGCATTATGATTGTCTTTTGACATATATTGGATCTCTGATAAGGAAGTGAATGATTGAAGGTGCACGCATGTCAAACAAAAAAGATTCTTCGATTTTTCAATATGAAAGAAGCTGGAGTCCTTTTTCATTCCACGCAGCTAATAAAGCCTCATCGTTAAGCTTCACCACTCATGGCTATTTTTCAAGTCAAGTATCTACTAACCTTTTTGTACAAAATTTACGTAAATGCTTCAATTTGTTGAACTTTTCTCGCATATTTTGCTGCAAACTAACCTTAGCTTAAAAGTAATTTAAGAAGTCCATTTTCATTTCACTCAATAATTATAACTTTATTTAAATAAAATTATATTTAAGTTTTATTTAAATTATTTAAATTTCATTTTCACAAATCATTAGATATGATTGTAAATATAGTGTAATATTTGTGATTTTTATTACAATTATTTTTAATCACAGCTCTATGATGAGTGATGTGAGCTTGTTTTTTGCACATCACATTAAAATTAGTATGAATGGTTCGGTACGGATAGCTGTATGAATTGTATGAAGGTATTATATCGATACTTACTGTATTACTGTAAAAATAGTTTTGATGGTAAAGAACATTGCAATGAATATTTTATTCAGTAAATTTTAGGTTTAATTTATCTTGTATGTAAGGGACATTTGGACGAGTTACAACACCACACATATTGTTTTCATTACGAGCAAGTCTAAGATATCCGTTTTCGCCCCAGTTTCTTCCCCAGCTGAAAAACATACAGTTTTTAAGTTCTATAAAAGTATTCTTAATTATACCTTTTAACTAATTCTGTCGCCTATTTGTGATCAAAAGATTTGCTCGATAAGATTACAAAAGATCACATACAAATAATGCATTCAACTTTATATTAAAACTTCGGTTATAGTAAGTTTATTTATCAGAATGTTACCAAAAATTACCTATTTTTAATAATCCAATAATCTTTTTTAACTTTTTTATCCTTCTTTACAACTTCTTCACTTCCATAACCAACTACGAGAACAGCATGATTTGGAAATGTGGAACATTCACTTGATTCAAAAATGCCTAAAAATTTAGAAGCCTTATTTTTGCATTGAAATATATTATTTCATTTCATTTGTTAATTTAAAAAAGTAAGCATGACATTACTATTATTATTATTATTATTATATTCTGCTTGCATTTATAATTCCTTTTTTGATATAGTTTAAGTCTTGTATTGCATGCATTTCCGCATATAAATTTAGCGAACAAATTTAATCCTTGTAAACGTTTGAACAAAAAATAACTTCAGTATTTCAGATAAAAATAGAATGATATTTTAAAATATCTGTGAATAAAGTAACTAATAGTATCAAAGAAGTGAATTCGAGAACTGTTATTTTACCTGTATCATAATCAGAAATGTAAGATGCATCGATAGAAACCGCTATTGGGCCCTTATCGACGATATCAGCTTGAAGTTGAACTTCATTATATCTTGTAAGTACTGCACTTGTCAAGCAAGTCGTTCCTCGATTTTCCACATTATACCTGCACTGACCATCAATTCCTTCGTAAGGATATTTGTCTTCTGTATCAATTCCATTATTGTTTTGCACATAATCATATGCCTAAAAATTAGCAACTATAATAACTATACGTCATTTGTGATACAAGAAAAAAGAAAGTATTAAAAATTGCTATCGCAATAAAAGTTATATCCAAATACTTCCATGTTTTTATTGCTTTTATTTGCTTTAGCTTATTTTTTCAGTTTAAGAAACTTAATAATTTTTGCCAAGCCCAATCTTGTAGCTACTCCTGCCCATTCAGTTCTCAGATAGTATTTCTGCTCTGCTCTACTATCCTCTGTACCATTCTTAATAAATTAATAAGTGTGGTTTTGTTTTTAGACAGTTTGTTTTTTTAGATTTTTGTGACTGATATTATTATTGACTATTTGTTATTTGTTTTATTATTTTGGCAATTTTTGATTTAATAGAAAAAAATAAAGAAAAGACAAAAATGATAGCATTGCGATAACAATATGAATATTAACAACCAACGCTGTAACTGTAATTTACTACTGTACTCATTGGAAATTATGCACTCTCTAATGGACATATCGTATTTCTTCCTAATCGGACTTGCATAGAGCATGTCAAACTTAATTTATGAAAAAATAAAAAGAATACTGACGAATATTGCAAGCCCGCCGTCACATCCTTCATTACCGTATTCATAACTGCAGTCCATAAGATTCTGCTCAGAAAGTTGTATCAAAACTCCCGTTTTCATAAAGTGTTGCGCCTCTAAAGCACCTGTTGCACTAAATGCCCAGCAACTTCCACAATATCCCTGTGAACACAAGCATAAATTGTATCTTAATTTCATCTAAACTTACTTTACTACACTTTTAATATATTAAATTATACAAATTATAAAATTTTGGTCAGAAAATTTCTCAAGTATTCATAATACAGTTTTTTACGTATTTGAACCCAAACACACTGTTAATTTATATTTGATCAACCCACCAAGGCATTCCTTTTCACAGAGATCAGCTCACCTTGTATAATGTTTGCATGTTTCAAAGAAGATAAACTTCTTCAATTTTGTGCCATACTGGCTGATTTATTTTAGTTGGAAAAATCCTCGATTTTTAGTATTGCTCTAATTAATTTTAGTGCTAATAATTAACCATTCTATGAAGGTACACATTAAATTATTCAAAAATGCAATGCAGACTTGAAAAAATACCTGGTCCTTCACAGGTGTGACTGCACCAAACTTGCGCCAATCAATATGTGGTGGTAGCGGCTTATGTACGGTATTAAAAGTTACATTATCAACACTTTCAACGTAGAAATACTTCAAATTTCCACTTCGATCGCCGTTAAGTCTACTCAGCTCTTCCGGCAGCTTTAGAATATCCATTATTATTATATTTAATTTGTTATAAAAATATCGAGCTAACTCAGGTGGTTGGATAAATTGACTGCATGTACGTGGAGTGGATACAAAAGCTTTTGATCTAATTATTAAAACAGATATGCTTGCGATTATAATTAAATTAATATAACACAAAATTTTTCTCAATTAATAAAAAATTCTGTTGCAAAAGTTAAAGAATGACCAAAATATAATTAAATAATTAAATATTAATAACTAACCCAATTTGTAAACTTATTGATAGCTTTTTGATATGTTGTCAGACCAGCTTTATAACGTTTGTTATGATCGTTTATTTTTTTGACATTCTCGCTGTATATCATGAAACGGCGATATTCCATCTCTGCGCTTTCATTTGCTTTATCTTCAACAGTACACAATAAAGTAACGATGATTTTCAACATTGACATATTTATCAAAAAATCAAACTTACACAAATATTTTTATTACTTATAAAAAGAGAATCATATTTTAGAACAGTCTAATGAAAAATTATGAACAACTTTGGAAGAGATTTGTAGTTCATAGTGAATTTTGTTTTAACTACTTATTAATCAAATTAATATATCACTGATATAATATCGGTTACAGTGATAATAATACTGATGATGATAGCGTAAATATTATAAGCGGTAAAATGTTAAAAATCAAACAAACATAAAATGAGTAATTACATTAATTGTGATTGATTGGGTAATGAGATAAAGTTCTTGTTATATACAAAAAATGATCTCACAAGTAATGTAATCAACTTTGCAGTGTAAACTAAAAATTATGACCTCAACATCTTAGCAGTTATGAATTCATAATAAAAATGTAAGTAATTAATACGATGATTCAAATTTGGTTGGTTAATTACTACAAAACTTACTGTAATTCTGTTTGTAAATTTTATAAGCAGCATACTGTTGTTTGAGTTGTTCGCTGTCCAACTTTTCATATATAAAATTATCAACACTGAAATAAAATAGAATAGATAACAATTCACGAATAAATCTTACTCTTTTGATTTATTTATTAAAAAAGATGTGTTTCTGATTATTATTAAACTAATGCAATTCAAAAATTTTTTTTAATTAATCAAAAATTCTCTTGCAAAAATTAAAAAAACTTAAATGTAAATCATGCAATTAACAGTTATTTCAGAAACGTTTCTTCAAACTTTAGATTTTACTTATTTAGTAATTACTTATTGGCATGAAAGATTCTATTGAAATGTGATAAAAAGCTTGAATAACTTGAAATAGTCTTTCATGCTCCAGTGAACACTTTAACATTTATAACTTTATCATAATTTATGGACATACTTTAAACTAGAATCAAAAGCTGCTTCAGATAATACAGTAATAGAATTGAGTAAAATGCTGAGAAGTATAGCTGAACACTTCATTTTGCGTTAAAACATTAGGCTGACATTATGATAGTTATCATGCTTCTTAATAGTTCTAAGCAGCTTCTGATAAGATCATTTGTACTTCACCGCTGATCAAAAATTAAGCGTAAACTTTTTAATGATGTCATATATTGATAATATTTAAAATGCAAGAGTACAAAATATTTTTGCACCATGCATTTTAAATATTATCAGTATATGACATCATTTTTGTGATTATCAATTCAATTCCCTTTGAAGTGTGAAAAAGTCGTTTTAAATTACAAAAATTATTTTGTACTGAATTTTTATACCTTTAGTTCCAATTTGCTGCTAATATTCAATGACTAAGGCAAAAGATGGATGTTATTTGTTGTGTTAAATTTGGACGATTTTGGATCAAAAATTAGGTTTAGTGATAAAATAAAAAATGATAAATGATGGATTAAATGATCAAAAAAACTATTCTTGAAGAATTTGTATTAAAAATTAAATTACTGATAAAAAAGGCACAACTATCTGCAAGAAAGTATGGACTACAAACAACAATGTATCAATAGATGATTACAAATTTGGAAATGCATTCATAATTTCAAAAATATAAACATAGTGTTAAAATTTTTTGTGAAGAATATCAGTTAGTACATAAAAAGATTCACTTAACTTCTTCTAACTATTGCTAAAGATTTTGTACTGAAAATCAAATTTATTGATAAAAATGATAAAGTTTAAAAGGCATAATAGATTTATTAAGTTTACAAGTACAGTTATGAAAATTGATTGAAAAGCAGATCTTTCTAGCCAGTTCTGTGAAATGTAAACTTAAATGTAAATCATGCGAATGAATACAGCATGAAGAAGTAATTTAATAAATTTACAGATATTGAACTTTGAGAAGGTAACTTTTTTGATTTAGCAGAAATCAAGTTTTTTGAAATTAATTTTCTTTTTTTACAAAAGGGAAGACATTGTATTTGGAATAGTGGAAAAATAGTTGAAATTTAATTTAAAAGATTTATTAGCAAAATTTGATGGATTACTATTATTTTGCTACAAATGCCATCAAAAAATTGAATCTGAATAACAATTTTACTGAATTTTAAAACGTGAAATCATATCGCTTACTTTAATTTTGAATGTTTATGTTATTTGATCGGAAATATAATGTTGATCACTTGAATAAATTAGCTTTAATGTATTAAATAACTAAACAGACACGCAACAATTATGGCATTGAATAAAGACTTATGCAATTCTGATTTGATGAAATAATTACGTTTAAAATTTTTCTTAAACAACCTTGAGAGAAAATATTGCAGTTGTTAGGATTCAATAACTGAAATTAGATGACTATGATTTCTAGTACCAGAAAAAAATTATTAGTTTGTTATATGAGTAAACTCAATTACTCCAATCCAATCTTCTTGAGATCTGAATATTTTTAAATAAGTTGCAAATACAGAAACAAACACTAAATAATTATCGACTAACACATTTTGAGATAATTTAATCGCGCATGCATATTGCTTCATTTTAGCTCTTGGCACCTGCTGCGGTTTTTAAAGGGTTCAAAAATACGAGGGAAATATACATTAAATCAATTGGTTATCAGATCAGAAAGAAAAAAGTGTACTACTTATTCCAAAATGAACTTATGACTTGATCTTAGTTTTTCATTCTACTAATATCTGCATATTTTTGATAGGACCAAGCATGTCTCACTTTACCAACTCAAAAAAAAAACAGATCTTTGCTTATTCATTTATTAATTCAGTCATTTACTGACTCAGAAGATAATAATTTATTAGTGTACTCGAATATTAAAGGCTACTAAAACTACAGCTTTAAATTAATTATTTTCCAGAGATTACGCATTAATAGTTAATAATTAATATGACTAAATTGTTTTCTAGAATTTTGTTTGCTTTTTTATCAAATACATCTATTTTTGTTCAACTTAAATTTTTATCAGCATAAATGCAACAAGAAAATCAGCTTTCATTTACACTTGGCGTTAGAAATGAAACAAACTTTAAGGGTCACTTAAATATTCAGTGATTTGTTACTTGAAAATAGATCTTCAGCACTAATTATGTATTTGTTTATTCATTTATTAATTCAGTCATTTATTGCATTTAAAAACATTTGTTTATTTATTGATTGTGATTTTAAAAAAGCTATCAATTTTTTATTTTCTGCTTTATTTCTGACAAACTTTGGACATCTCACGCAAAAAAACTTTGACTTGAAATAACCTTAACATCTGCAACCATTTGTTGCAATATGTTTTATGACACTTTCCTATTAAATATCAATCAATAGGTCAAGGATAGCTCCTATATATAAATATATTGTATATGCATAATTATAGCTTTCAGAGTAATCTGAAATGATTACTTCCTAATTTGTAAGCATCGTAAAAACTAAACTGAGCCTTTCTATACTTCATAAAGTCCATTGAGAACGATGGGTGCGTCTTTACTTTAATTGCACATTTTTTTTTTACATTTTCACTCCCAAAAATTAAAAAAAAAAGACAATTTTTACGTCTAAAAAACAAAGTAATATTTTGGCTGTGGCGAAAATTAACCTTTGACATTGCGAATTACTACTAATGATATTATAATAAGTACAAATATTAAAAGCAAATTCTTTCAGAAACTTATCATTTCTTTACAATCCAAAAATGGAGCAAAAGATTAAAAATTAATACAATGCGACAAATACTTAATTATAAAAGTGAATAATTGTAAATTTTCATTAGAATTTATCAAATAGTATTGGTTGCTGCATTTAATGGCTGAAATCTGCGAATTACAATGCACTTATAAAAATATTGAATTATTGAAAAAAATTCATTTGTTTTGGTAGATAAATGAATTAGAAAGTAAAATTATCGTAATACATCACAAAAATACGCTCCATCATAAAATACAGTTCTGAAGATTAAAAAACTTCCCTTAAATAGCGTTGAATCTCAGATATTTCAAAATAAATTTGTTCTTTAAAATTAAAAATGTCTCCAAAAGTATTATTCAGTTTTTTCGTTATTATTTCCAAAAATTGGAGTAGAAATTTTTGATCTTGAAAGAATGATATAATACGAATACGAATACGAATTAATCAAATATTATATATTATTTGAATAATATAACAAAATGTAAAGATAATAAAATTTATATAAGAAATATGATCAAGTTTGAGCTGTTTAATTTTAAGCTGTTTGTTTATTCAAATCACACACTCAAAATCAAAAAAACTAATTGTAACTTTTAATTTGTATATAAATTGTCTTTATTTTGTTAATTATTTATTGTGTTCTACGAGGATTATCACTGAGTTTTTCTGATAAAATTTTACTCAAAGTATTAACAGTGTCAGTGTTGTTTGAAGCGAACAAAATACTGCATAAGCTTTGAAAATTTTTGCACTAATAAAATTTTCTAGAGCACTTCTTGTGCTTAATTTGGTTACTAAAGTGAACTGAACAAAAATAGCAATACTCTTTCGAAGTATTCTTGTCATTAAGTATTAAAGAATGCTTGCATTTTACCGAAGCAATTCTAAAAAAATTCATTTTGTTTTTCATTTGCTTTCTTGAAATGAGAATATATCAGCTTGGTTATATTATTGAATTATATTATTTTGCAAATAATTTATACTTTGCGTGACTGATTACTTATAACTGCGCAAAAGTTTAAATGTCTGATGAGAGAAAATAATTGCATTAAATTCATCTAATTATAATGTATAGATGATTTATATGAAATGCATTGCGTAAGGAATTTACTTACTCACTTACTTATTAAGAAGAGCAAAAATAATAGATTGAAAAGGTCTATGAATAAAGCCTTTTGCTCTAATTCATTCAAAGATTTTCATATAGCTCGTTTTTTTTTTTGCCATAATTATATTTGGTATTTTTAAAAATGCTTAAAATTTGACTCCTTTTACAAATACAAGAAATTATTGAAAGTAATAACTGTTTTTTAAGTTCGAAAAACAAGTACTGCACGTGTTTTGATAATATTTACGCACGTGTTTCAGTAATAATTTTTTCAAATGCTAGTTTCTTCCAAAGTTTGTAAA